AGAGGAAGATGCAGCGCGCAGAGCTTTAATCTTCACCAGCTGACCAGCACGTTTTCCCCGGCGTCTGAAGCGATATCTCCGGGCAGGGAGGTGAGGAGCCCAGCGGAGGTAAACTGGCACGTCCGCCAGCAGGGGGGGAGGAGGGGTCCAGAGGTATGCTCATATTGTTCAAAATAAGCGACTTCAGTGGCAGAAAAACGAAGATCCAAAAGTTGTTGTCTGTCATACACTAGCAGAGAGTTGATGTCATTGATGAGGAATACAAAAAACAAAAATAATCCGAACACCATCAGCAGAGGTGGATTGCAAGCCATGTACACGGGCGCCATCTACTACAGCAACAGTAATTAGAGAGACAGGTAGGAAGGTACTTGGTGTGTCATCTGGACAGAGAATGGATGATAAGGAAACCTGGCGGTGGAATAGTGAAGTGCAGGATGCCGTTCAAAGAAAGAGATTAGCCAAGAAGAAATATGACAGTGAAAGGACTGAAGAGAGGAGACAAGAATAAACGGAGATGGGATGTAGAGCAAAGAGGGAAGCAGCAAAGGCAAAACAGAGGGCGTACAGCGAGTTGTATGGGAGACTGGACACTAAACAGGGCAAGACGGACTTGTACCGACTGGCAAGACGGAGGGATAAGGCTGGAAAGGATGTGCAGCAGGTTAGGCTTATTAAAAATAGGAATGGTAATGTTCTATCAAGTCAGGAGAGTGTGATGGGAAGGAGTACTTTGAGGAGCTAATGAATGAAGAGAATGAAAGAAAAAGTAGAGTAGCGGTCAAAGAAACTATGGACCAGGAAGTGGGAAAGATTAGTGAGAGTGAAGTCTGGAAAGCTCTGAAAAGAATGAAGAGGAAGGCAGTAGGACCTGATGACATACCAGTGGAGGTTTGGAAATGTCTTGGAGATGGAAGTGAGGTTTTTGACTCAAATATTCAATGGCATATATGAGGGTGAGAAAATGACTCAGGAATTGAGAAGCAGTATGGTTTCATGCCAAGAAAGAGCACCACAGATGCCATCTTTGCTTTGAGAATGCTGATGGGATAAGTACAGAGAGGGTCAGAAAGAACTCCATTGTGTCTTTGTGGATTTAGAAAAAGAATGACAGAGTGCCAAGAGAGGAGGTGTGGTATTGCATGAGGAAATCTGGATTGGCAGAAAAGTATGTTAGACTGGTACAGGACATGTATGAGGACAGCAGGACAGTGGTGAGATGTGCTGTAGGAGTGACGGATAGCTTCAAGTTGGAGGTGGGATTGCATCAAGAATCAGCTCTGAGCCTCTTCTTGTTTGCTCTGGTGATGGACCGAATAACAGATGAGGTCAGGCAAGAATCCCCATGGACGATGATGTTTGCAGATGACATTGTGATCTGTGGTAAGAACAGGGAACAGGTGGAAGAGAACTTGGAGAAGTGGAGGTATGCACTTGAAAGAAGATGAATGAAATTCAGCCGTAGTAAGACGGAATACATGTGTGTGAATGAGAGGGAGGCCGGTGGAACAGTGAGGCTACAAGGAGCAGAGGTCACAAAGGTGCAGGACTTCAAGTACTTGGGGTCCACTGTCCAGGAAAATGGGGAATGTGGTAAAGAAGTGAAAAAGATAGTCCAGGCAGGATGGAGTGGATGGAGAAAAGTTTCAGGAGTAATTTGTGACAAAAAAGTGTCAGCAAAGGTCAAAGGAATAGTTTACAAGACAGTGGTGAGACCAGCTGTATTGTATGGTCTGGAGACAGTGGCATTGACAAAAAAACAGGAGAAAGAACTGGAAGTGGCAGAAATGAAGATGCTGAGGTTCTCCTTAGGAGTGACGAGGCTGGATAAGATTAGGAATGAGATCATCAGAGGTACAGCACAGGTTGAACAACTGGGAGATAAAGTTAGGGAGGCCAGACTGAGATGGTTTGGACATGTCCAGAGGAGGAACCGTGGGTATATTAGTAGAAGGATGTTAGAAATGTAGCTGCCAGGAAAAAGACAGAGGAAGGCCAAAGAGGAGATGAATGGATGCAGTTAGAGAGGACATGAAGGTAGCTAGAGTGAGGACAGCGGACACAGAGGACAGAGTGAGGTGGAGGAGGATGACTCGCTGTGGCGACCCCTGACGAGGGAAAAGCCGAAAGAAGTTGGTTATAATCATTAACCTTAAAATAAAGAAACATTTGAAATATATCAGTCTGTGTGTAATGAATGAATATAATTTACAAGTTCAACTTTTTGAATGGAATTACTGAAATAAATCAACTTTTTCATGATATTCTAATTTTATGACCAGCACCTGTAAATGAAGTGCCGGACAGAGAACGTCTCAGGAGGACTCTGTTTAACTCTCATAAAATGGGCATTTAAACATCACACAACTGAATAACTGGAGCTATTTTTCTAAATGTTGATTTGGGGTCACTTTAAAATAAGAAATGCATACAAAACATTTTTAAATCTCTCTAATCTCTTCACATTTTCTTTGCCAAATTTAGCAGAACTACTAAAAGTGGCTGCAGGTGAAGAACTGTGTATTTTTCTTCAGGAAGCTAAAGACTTAGCAACAAGTAGCTCGTTAACACTAAAACAGTTGATCAACTTAAAAATCCACTAGTTTCTGCTATGATTTCTTGAAAAGTAAGAGGAAGGCACGTGCTGAATAGTCAGAATATGTTTAATAAAAATAATTAAACCTCAATTTCCTCTATAGAACTTCATAGAAAGGAATCCAATAAATTACAAATAACTTTTAAGACGTATTTTCCTGCACTACATTAATTCTTTGACTACACAGACCACATTTTGCAAGAATTGTCCAATGGAAGAGAGAAAAGAAAAAACTGATCAGTGACATTTATCAAGCTTGAACTAAAGTAGCAAAACCCATGTTTGGAGTTCTGTCCTCTCAGTGATTTACATGTAGAAACTGAGACCCCCCTGTACAACAATATAGAGCGTTTTGTCAGTCCTCTTGTACATTGGTCTCTGTTTGCTTCTTTTAAACCCATGTCAACACTGCAAACGTGCTTTGGAAGTTTATGTACAGTAAAACTTTTCCATCTTTTATTCCCCGTGTCCTAGTGAGCACAGAAAAATTGATCCACCGATCCATTGCTGAGGGGCGACAAGTCATTAATCAAAGTCACTTACAGCAGACGAAGCAGTGGTGTTTGCATAAGGGCACTACAAGTTCAAAGAAAGCAGAAGTGCAGATATACAAAAACAAAATGACAGTGGTGTGTTTCAGTCCAATGCTCAGACATACAAAAATACCGTACTGTTAGTAATAATCATAAAAAACACAGTTGCATTGTAAGCAAACCCATAATGAGGTTTATATAGAACAGGCATACAGGAAAAAAACACTTTAAAGCAACATCAAAAAACAGACGTGTCTTCAGTGTTTGTGTTCAGACGTTGCGGTTTCTCACCGTTAAACCCACCAGAGAGAGAGAAAGATGCTACAGATACTTAACAGTATATTCAAGAATGTCTTCTGAGAAAGACCTAACAGTCTCAGTGTAACAGCAGTCCTGGAACAAGCTTGCTTGTGCCAGAGTGAGTTACAAAAAGGTACTTCGGCTTAAACGTAGTCCAGTGTGTGTATTTGCGTGTACTCCAATTACAACCGCAAAGTGAACATGGGCGGGGACGCTGAAGAAGCGTGGCATAGCGAATGCAGCGTGCAGAATGAAAGGAGGAGTATGAGGTGTGGGATAAGGGCACTTCTACATCTAGCTGAAGCTCTGTTTGTCAACACAGCAAGGTCGAGTCGAACTAGAACCAAATAAGGAAAAAGCCTCAGACTCCCAGCGACACAAGCTGAAGTGATCAAACCCTTTCTGTAGCAAGGTTGAAATGACGCCAACTTTAAAACTCAAAGACAACGCTCAATACTCAATGGTGTACCACAAGGCTGTCTTAGGACCCACCCTCTTTACAATCTACATAAGTAATGTAGGTCAGACCACTGGTCTCTTGTACACGAGTCATGGCGACTCAATGAGACTAACCTGTATAAACTGAATGAATGAAAAATACAATCCTAAACAGGATTTGATCCTTCTTTTGGCCTTGTGGCACATGTATACATTTTTAAACAAGTAATGTAGCACACATTCTCAATGACTAATGTTCTAAGTTTTGATGAGGCATGATTGAAGAGAAAGAACACTTGCAAAGTGGCAACATTCAGACTGGAAGGTGGTGGAAGGAGTAGACACCAGCTCAGAGAGGAGGAACGGTGTGGTGCTCTCACAGGAAAGGGAGAAAAGATGGCCCCTCGCACACACCATTCAGCAGAAACCATCACGTTGTGAATGCGGACAGAAGGAAAATGCATCCATTCGCATGGACTGTTGCACAGCCAAGCAAATCTATTCAGCAAAATTCAGGTAAAAATGTTAAATACAACTGGGCTTAAGTAATATTTACAACACTGTCTGGGCCTCAAAGGGTCAGAGGACAGTTTTTTGGCACACAGTAGAAGTTTTCCATCACTAGCTTTTAGATCAGAATTAACAGATGCAAAAGTGAACATTTATGCCTTTCTTTAAGGAGCTGAAATGGTGGTGAACTATCTAAAATCAGATGACTTTAGATATATTGTTTTATTAGAGAAAAACTAATGTGTTAAAGAATAGAACACTTTATCCAATGACATGAAGGTGACAGGATTGTGAGCCTGTAAGAGTTGTGCACAGGAGTGGAAACATGGCTGACAACAGAATCTACAGTTTCAGTGACATTCATTAGCTGCCCAGGTTATTGCTGACATTTCCAGATCTGCAAAGCAAAAGTGTCAACAAACCTGCAAAAGTTCTGGCTATTTACAAATAAAATTCCCACCCGCTCAAAATATATTAAATGTACTGCTCAACGAGCGTATGTAGTTTCACTTTTTTTTTAATCAATCCTAACAGAATGCCTTTTTCTTTGCAATTGTACATAATCAGGAGGTACAAGTTGACAAAGTTCAGAAAATCTACTAAAGTATGACATGCAGAACGTGTCAAAACAACACTGTACCCTGTGAACAAACACAGACACTTTATTTTAGGCTTTTTGAAAGTCAGTTATTCTTTGATTTTTCAATGTTTTCTTCTTTTTTTTAAATCTTTTGTATTAAAGTCCTTATTACACAACATTGTAGTTAGTTCTTTTATTTACATGTAAAGAAATCGCAACACAAGGGCTGGAAAGTCCATATATATATATGTGAATAAATGTTTACATTTCTAGGTGATACATAAATAAATTTATAACTTTATATTCAAAAGGTTTAGTCTTCATCACTGGAGTCTGAATCATCAGAGGACGAGGAAGAGCTCCCAGAATCCGATGAAGACGACTCAGATTTCACTGAACTTTCAGGACCACTGTTTTCTTTTTGATCTGCAGTCTCCTCCTCCTCCTCTTCGTCGTACTCGCCTAAAACCCTCCTTATCATCTCATAGTGCTCCTTTGTTTGTTGGTC